TCTAATTTAAGTTTTTATTTTCAATAAAAAAAATTGTTCTATTTTCAATGTATCTTTTTCTTCAATATATTTTTTAAATTTTCTATTTTCAATACTTGTTTTTGTTTATGGTTTAATTTTTAAATAAAAAAATAATAATTAATTTTATTATTTTAATATTCTTTAGAATTAAAATTTGTTGTATATTTTTTTTTATCTTTATTATAAACATATAATAATATTAAATTTGAATCGCTAAAAATGTAAAAAACACTAACATCACAATAAAAAAACTAAAAAACAAATTCATTAAATTTCAATCTAATATAACATTTTCCCGAGTACAATTAGAGCGTACATGCTCATTGTAACTTTCAATCCGATTCATATATGGAGTAATCCATGCATTTGCACAATCATATCTAAAATAAGCCCATTGTGGAGCAATAGTAGGCATTGGGTACCCTCCTGTCAATGTTACCTTAACATAATGGTTATTATTAACATAACCAAGGGCTATTGCTACATGCTCGTACCAAGGTGGTGGGTTAGATCGGAGTGGTAAATATGTTGTACTGTCGGCCATACTCAAAACATGCAGTATCACATTGTATCGGGAAGCAATTAGTACACCCATCTCCGGCATAGTCATCCAGTGCTCAACTGGTGCACACCGATCTTGTGCAAAAAAATTCAACATGTTATAGACATTATACCATCCTTGAGTTCCAAACATATTGGTATATTCCATCTTGTGATACTCTAGTTCTTCGATTAAATTGGATCGAATTTTGAACCATTCGTCCTCCTTAAAACCAAGACATAGAGCTACTGCTCGAAATCCACAGTTTCCGTCAAATCTCACATCTTGCACTTGCATGATGAAAGGATGGAATATAACCGGGAGTTGAAGAATATATGGATGGTAAAAATGTCTATTACCTGAATTTGATGCAGTTGAACAACTATTCCGAGCTGGTTCTTGAAACTGAATATTATTTGGTTCGGCTTGAATTTTTCTGAGAGATAGAGTTCTTAAGAGAGATTTGTTTTTTGAACTGGGACGCCCACGAACATTTAATTGCACGGCTGGCTCACGGATTGATGTTGTAGATGGCACGATCAACTCCCTCAACTTTCTCAATATGCTGAATTTACCAGTTCTTGATTGTTTCTTGAACTGATCCTTAAACATATGAAGCTCATGCTCAACACCAAAATCCTCATTAGTTAGAGAGATGGAAGATGATAAGTTGAGCTTCCTCCAAAATATATCAATCGAATCAAGTGCGATGGGCTTACCACAAAGTTGAAATATGTTACCTGCTCGTGTGCACATGGAAGCCCACAACTTGTTCGCAACCGACATCCACAATTTTCAACAGTAAACCCGCCAACTTGTGACCTCGCAAACTCATTAAAAATGAGATTTAGTGCATGAATAGACACAAATCCACGCAATTCTTGAAAGTGTGAAGTGTTGAACCGATGTCGAATGACAATTTTACTTTGTTCAAGACTTGATTTGATTGCTGTGTCTTGTGACTGAATGACTCTGTCGATATAATCCAATGATGTCTCCAAATCTGACTGTGATGACTCCAAGTAATTTTTTAACTTGGCATGCTGACTCTCAACTCTGTTCGTAGTGTGATTTCCAAAATTGAGATATCGATCAGTCCAAACAGATACAAACATTTCTTTATACGGTTGCAGCCAATTATCATCAATATAACCAAAAACACCTGAAAATAGTAATAATTGCATTAGTTGAACAAATATGCCTTATTAAAAAAATATTAAATATACATTGAATAATACTTGGAAAGTCAACCAAAACTGCTTTTAGTTGAGCTAAAAGAGACATATATGCTTCATGAGACTGAGACTCAACTAATGCGTTCCATGATTGGTAGAATAAATCCCAATGATGGTTGGATGGTATCGATGGTCTGCACTTTCTCAAAATACTTCTATAGATATGCCATCTACAAAGTAATCCTTTAGCATCCGGATACACATTTTTACATGCTTTCATCAATGCCAACTCTCGATCCGTGACGATAACACGCGGGGTAATGCATCCCTCAATTGTAGCATTGAGACAATTTAATGCCCAAGTATAAGTGGACTCATTCTCTTTGTGCATGAAGGCGAACGCTATGCAAAATGTCATGTTGGTCGAAGTTACACCAACCATTTCGACGAGGGGCATCGAGTACCTATTTGTTTTATACATCGCATCTATCAACAACACATGTGGAAATGCACGCCACTTCTCCAAAGATTTAGGATGAACAAAAAACAAATCTTCTAACTCATTTGTTGCAATATTAGTTCGACTCTCATGCAAATAACCATTGTTATGTAAAAAAGACATAACAACTTGCATTTGAGTTTTACCTGCTTTCTCCATCATCCGAAATTTTTGGCGTGCATTGTATATGGTTTTTGTGATGGAAACATTTTCCGGATTTTGCCTCTTCACAGACGTTAAAATGTCTCGTGGTTTCACATGCATCGCTGACAAATTTTCCACCAATTCGACTTCATTTCCTGATAATCGCCTTGCATAAGGGTAACCTTCAAGGTGCAACGCAGGATCATGATTATGTACTCCACATATTACCCTTACCCTCCAGCAACCATCAACAAGTATGTATTTCCCCTCCAATTGGAATGGACAATCAATTTTTCTTGTACCCGTGTTTTTGGATGAGATTTTTTTTGGCACGTAAGCACCACCACGGTCACACTGAAATATAACTGTAGGACTCTTATTCTTATTCCGGGACCTTTTAATCACAATAACATATCTGAGATCCCGACCTCAACTTTGAACCCATTCAATTAAATCTTCGCGAGACATGAATGCCTAATAAAAAAAAATATTTGTATCAATAATAAAAATATAACTATACCTAGTATTATATATGATTATACCTTTTTTTTTTTTGCCTTGTTTGGTTCTAAATAATAATAATAATAATAATAATAATAATAATAATAATAATAATAATAATAATAATAATAATAATAATAATAATAATAATATGGCGTGAATGACTACATGCATGTATACCAACATATTTCAAAAAAAAAAAAAAAAAAAAAAAAAAAAAAAAAAAAAACAGAAATTAAGTATACATACTAATTAAAGCACAATATATACAAACATGTTGTTGCTTACATGCTTATAAGTTAATAATAATATTAAAACAAAAGAATATAGTAGAAAGATCCTATGCATATATATAAATCAATATGGAACTATGATTTGTGTATGAATTTTGTTTTACCGTTTCTGTAGACCATTCGCATGCAACCTCGAGATTTAGGTTCACTTGATCTTCATCTTTATTTCTATTGTCATCATAAAGTTCAATTGCATTTTCGTCCTAAATAGGCAAACAAATAACAACTCTTGATATATTAAAGCAATGAATTTTCTAATAACAAATAAATATACGTACTTAAATTTCTAAATAATATGTAAAAGCAATGAACTTAAATTTCTAAATAATATATAAAAGCAATGAACAAATATACGTAAGTTCAATTGTAACATTTCATTAACAATTCAAATAAAAAATTAAATTACCTCATAATGTTGTTGATTTTGATCATTGTAACTAAGAAATTGTCTTCGATTTTGATCATTGTAGCTAAAAAAAAATCTTCAATCCAACCGTCCATAGCTTATAGATTGTATGAGACATATACATCACACACACCCCACATATATATAGAGTCATTTGAGTCCAATCTGTATTCCCTGCCGTCCAAATTACCAATGGTTTCATATCACGAAAATCAATATTAACTAAAAAATATGTATTGAAATTATAAACTTAAAAAAATATGTATTCAAATTACAAACTTATAAAATCTATGTATTGAAATAGGATATTTAAAATAAAGAGGAGAAATATAAAGAGGCAAAAAAAAAAAAAAAAAAAAAAAAAAAAAAAGTTAACATGGTCACCTTCTCCGGTGAGAAGGCAGACCAGTGGGTCGCCTTCTCACCGGAGAAGGCAACCCAGGTAGATTTCTACCTGGGTTGCCTTCTCCGGTGAGAAGGCAACTCACAGTGGGTTGCCTTCTCACTGGAGAAGGCAACCCAGGTAGAAATCTGCCTGGGTCGCCTTCTCCGACGAGAAGGCGACCCACTGGGTGGCCTTCTCACCGGAGAAGGTGAGTCTTTTCTTTTTTCTTTTTTTTTTCTTTTTTTTAATGTATTAATTAATTAAATTTTAAATTATCAAAGTATTAATTGCATGTTTGACAAGGTGGTGCAAATAGCATTTTGACCACCCATTAGGCTATTTGCATCACCTATGTATTTATTGTAAGTTTTTAACTTTTTATATTTTCAATGTTGCTATTTGCACCACCCTTTGACCAAAAGGGGATATAAAGTATCATGAAATTGTAAAAAGGTAAAAACTTTTAATAATTGTATAGGTGGTGTAAATAGCCAAATAAGGATTTATTTTGTTATTTGCACCACCTTGACCAAACTTCATTTATGAGGTATAATTAATAATATTTTAATTCAAAACCTAATTAATTAAAACTTTAATTTTAAAAAAAAAAAAATGAACCCAGTCACTGTTTTGCTTTTGTTTTGTTTGTTTTTTTTTTTTTGTTTTTTGTTTTTTTGTTGTTATTTTTTTTTTGTTTTAATGCCTAATTATTTATGCAATATTTTTTTAAGTTTCAATAAATATTTTTTTTAAGTTTTTATTTTCAATACATCTTTTTTTTTATTCAATATATATACTTTTTGTTCAATACATATTTTTTTTAATTACTAATTTTAACACATTTATTTTAAGTTTCTAATTTCAATACATATTTTTAAGTTTATAATTTCAATACATATTTTTTTAAACAATTAGTCAATATTAATGTTTGTGAGATGAAATTACTGATGATTTGGGCGGCAGAGAATACAAATTGGACTCATATGACTCTATATATATGTGGGGTGTGTGTTATGTATATGTATCACACAATTTATAAGCCATGGATGATTGGATAGAAGATTTATTTAGTTACAATAATCAGAATCAAAGCCAGTTACTTAGTTACAATGATCAAAATCAAAGTCAAGGACATTATATATGAGGTATTTTAAGTTGTTATTTGAATTTGAATCGTTAATGAATTGTTATTTATTTCTATGGGTGTTGCTATTTGTATTTTAAGCCAGTTTGTTCTTGCTTGCTAGGTAATTAGGATTCATTTAAATTAGATATAATTTCTCAATTGACTAAATAACAATCTCTTTGTTCCATGTCAAGAGAGAAAATTATAGTATTAATCAATTTGGTGAATATAGTTGTAAATTAATTTAATTTGTTGTGAATATAGTTGTAAATTAAGCAATTTATTGTATTTACAGTATAAACAAATAGGCAGAATTGAATTGTTAATGAATTGTTATTTATTTCTATGGGTGTTGCTATTTGTATTTTAAGCCACTTTGTTCTTATACTACAAAGAATACACAATTGCAGGAAACTATTCTACAGAGACGGAAGGACAACCATAAATACAAAATTCAAAATAGAAAGAGTGTAGGAACGCATGCAGTAGACTTATTTTATGATTAGAAGCCTTGACCTCCACTTATTTTATGATTAGAATTTTAACTACCTCAAAATTGTTAGAACTCTAATCCACATATCTTTATAAATTGTTACAGTATTTACAGTATAAAAAGATAAGTAGAAAATCAATTTATATTTCAAAGTCTCAATAGAACTCTAACCCACATATCTTTATAGAATTTTAACTACATCAAAATTGTTAGAACTATAACCCACATATATCTTTATAAAATTGTTACGGTATTTACAGTATAAAAATATAGGTAGAAAATCAATTTATATTTATTCATTTCAAATATCACTAGTAATCATTTTATATTTCAATTTATAGTTAAATCAATTTAAAACAATGTATAGAACAAATTTGAGTTATAAAAAATATTAGAATAACAAAATTAATTATTATTTCTCTTTATTTAAAATTAAAACATAAACAAAAATAAGTATTGAAAATATAAACTTAAAAAAACATGTATTGAACAAAAAAAGATGTATTGAAAAAAAAAAAGAAACTTAAAAAAATATTGCACGCACAAAATAATTATGCATTAAAACATAATAATAATAATAATAATAATAATAATAATAATAATAATAATAATAATAATAATAATAATAATAATAAGAGATTGATTATTAAATAAAAATAAAAAAAAAATAAAGATTAATGTTTGACTACATTTAATGAGGTGGTGCAAATAGCACTTTTTTATTTACACCACCTATAAAGCTATTACACCTATTAAATAGAGGGTGTAAATAGCAAAATGGGTGGTGCAAATAGAATTTCCCATATATATATATATATATATATATATATATATATATATATATATATATATATATATATATATGTGTGTGTGTGTGTGTGTGTGTGTGTGTGTGTGTGTGTGTGTTTGAATTTTGTGCATTGATTGCCCAATTAGGTAGGAAAATTATGTCATGGATTCAAGTACATAGAAATAATATTGTAAGTGCGTAAAAAAAATCTGATATATAAATATAATATAGGAAAATTCATCAGATCAATTATTATTTAAATATTTTATTCTCTATTTTTTGTATATATAAAATTAATATATAAAAAATATTTTTAAAAATATTCCTGATGAATATATTGAATTTAATTAATTCCATCAATTCCATTGAAGTATTTTAAATGACACACACATTGATATAGTCATGGGCGGATTTAGCATGGGGGCAGTGGGGGCAGCTGCCCCCACTCACCCCACCCCCACCCCATATATAGCCTTTGTATGTATATATGTATATATAGTACATGCTTTACATATAAATATTTAAAAACTGATAAAGGTGACCAATAGTTAAGTTGGACGAGTTGGCAAAGGCATTTTTGGGCTTGGGAAACGTCTGTGGTTCGAGTCCTTCCTCTCTCAACATTAATCCCATCCCTTTCCTAACTGTTTCTGTTTCATTATGGCTCAACATAAGGGTTTCTTTAATTGCTTCATTAAATCACTTACTTTCAACATAAGTGTTTCTTTATAATGTGTTGACACGATGTATAATTTATAATGTGTTTTTTATTTGAATTATTTTATTAAATTAATTATGTTTCATATTTTGTTATGAATATTTTTATAAAGTTTTAATGTGTTTTATTTTGTCTATATCCAATAATTTTATGACTATATTTCTTAAGTGTTTCATTGGTTTTCAAACTATAATGTTTTGCCCCCACTGACAATTTTTTCTGGATCCGTCACTGGATATAGTTTTCAATATAACGTTTTAATAATTTGTGATTAACTTGTAGTATTTCTGACTTTTATTAACCTACAGTAGTAATTTTAATTATCAGTTATAACTTTATGAGCCAACAGTAATATAGTAAAATATGTATATAAATTATAAAGTAATGATTTTATTTATAAAAAAATGA